ATGTTGAGAAATTATTATTATAAAAAATACTAAATAAATTAATAATATTATTAATAATAAATTTTCATAAAAAAGAAATTTTTTAAATTAATTTTCAAAAATCATAAAAATTGAACTTGCTCCAAAAGTTCGCCTAAATGTTGGAGATTTCTAGAGATGTTCGTGTTTTAAAGTTAAAAAAAATTAAAATCAAAACCCAAAATTTCTAAACCTTTAAAATCCAAACCCCAAAAATCCAAAACCCTAAAATCCAAATCTTTAAATTCAAAACCCTAAAATCCAAACCCCAAACTCAAACTTTAAAACCAAAACCCCAAAATCTTCAAACCCTAAAATCAAAATCCTAAACCTTCCATACACTAAAATTCAAGCCGTAAGACCTTCTAAACCCTAAAATCAAACCCTAAAACCCTTAAAACTCAAACCAAAATCCTAAAATTTGAATATTCAAAATCTTGAAACCCTAACCTTTAAAACCTTTACCCAAGCCCTTAATCAAAACATTCTGAAACTCTAAGGATACGTGTGAAAATCTCAAATGGAGTAATTTATTCCTGAATGCCACCTAGATGATGGGGTATTTAGGAAACTTTATTCCATTAAGTTTTTCAAACAAGTCCTTAATTCGCTTTAACAATGGGGTTAATGACTGATTAATAAAATGAGATTTTAAATATAAATAGTCACACCTAAGCTCTGTTTAGATGTTGGAGAGTCAATGTGGTCTCATTATATTTAAGAATCTAATTTCAAAATTGCATTTCATCATTACGCACAACATCTATCAATGCATCTATTTATTATTGATTGCACTCAATTCACATGTTTGTGCTTTTACTTATCATTTGTTGTCTAATAATACCATCGTTGGCATTTTCGCATAAAAAATGTGTTTAATTTAAAAATGTGAAATAAAACAAAAATAATATTCTGAGGGAATAATTTCTGATACTCTACCTAGATGTTGAAAAGTTATCAACAATTATTTTTTTCAAAGAATGTTGTTTTTATTTTTAAGGGATGTCATGGTAAATATCAGTTAAAAGCATTATTTTCAAACTTCTGCCTAGACGTTGAAAAATTTTGAGATAATTCTTTAACTTAAATATTTCCTCGATATTCCTAAATAAAGAATTTTGATAAAAATTAATTTTATTTCTTTTAAAATAATAAAAAGGGATCATTATTAAATTTCAAATCAAAACCATTTCATCCAATATAAAAAATAATGTATGATTAAATGATACCAATTTATGAGCGTTGTGGGGGTGATAATCCTTCCCCACACGTAACCGATTCCCAAATCCAACTTAATTTTTGTAGACCAAAATTTATCTTTTTGATAAACTTTAAATCTGCTTTATAATTTTATTAAAAAGATAATCTTTTGGGTGACCAATCACACCCTAAAAAAGATTGGTGGTGACTTTCTCATTTTTCTCAATTTTAAAATTCTTTACGTCTAACAGTCTCAAAACCGTTACGATAGTCTCCTACCCTTCTTTGTCCCCCTCTTTTAATGCAAATCTTTCAATTGAAAATTATCACACTCAATTAACCAAAAATAGCCAGTAATCCTTTTTAGAAAATGGAGACAACATTTTTGAATTTAACACACAATCAGCTCACAAATATTTGTCATTTGTTCTGGCTAGCTTAGAGTTATGGAAACCATGTATTTGGGGTGTAAATTGGACAATATTTGTTGTTATAGAGGGTTGTTGGCCTAGTTTTAAATGAAGTAGCAACTAATTTTCTCTTTTGGCAATTGAGGTGGTAGCATGCAACGTGACAACATGCTTTTGCATGTTCTAAAAAAGATTCTTCAATTTTTTCTTAACTCCAACTATGATTTTGAGGTAGAGACTTGTCCACATTTAGGATATTTTAAAGTATAAAAATTGCACGAAACATGCAAGGCATGGGTTGGTTAAATTTCTTCTTCATGTAGCCAATGTTTGCAAATGCGTAAGTGGGCTTATAGCTTCATACATAGGAAGCATTTTGTCCGACTTCCATCTTTGGTGACTTTTATTTGCAACCATTTTTCAGCCATGAAAAAAACTTTATATCCCTTATTCTTAAGTTTCTCTAAGAATGGGGAGTTTTCCATTTTTTTTTTACTAGTAATGTAATAAATGTCATTTTGGCCCTCTTTTATTCTAATGACAAGTCCTTCAAGCTTGTCAACTCATCACCACTCTTGGAACCTCTTTAATGCATCACGTAACAGTATAAAGAAAATTAGAAATGTTAAAGCAATATAAATTGAATTCATTCACAATCATTAATTATAAAAACAAACAACTAACAATAGAGTAGTACACAAAAATAATTTAAAATCCATAAAAGGCTTTAAAGATGACTTACAACCATTTGATCTTTCTTTAATCTTGAAAAAAAAAAACTTTTTAAGCTATAGACAATAAAAGTTTACAAATGCCAAGGTCTTTAAGTTATAAACAAAAAAAGTTTATAGGTGCCTAAGTCTTCTAAACTTTGATGACAATTCCAATACAAACATTATGGCCAATTACAAAAGAAAAGCAAAATGCTTGTGGTCTTTTATACATAACCCAAAAAACAAAGATTGAAATAATGTTCAGGATAGCTTCCACAAAATTTTCATTCATTCTTATAGTCGATTCAATACTTCTTTTATAAGTTCACAATCACATTAAAGAGTCAAAGGCAAATTACCATACTTTGGCAACCTATCTTTTCTTATATGTGGCAACTTATAGTTGTTTCCTCCACCAACTTTTATAAGTTCCACCATACAACCTTGTAAAGTCAAAAAGACATTATCAAGACTATTTTCTAAAAATTCATTGAAAGATTTTTCAACAGCATTGATTAGCTCATCAATTGTTTTGGGAGCTTCATGGTGTTAAATAGATTGAATGGCTCTAAAAAATCTAAGATCTAAAACATTTAAATCTAGACTATTTGGTGGTTGGCGTAGCAGTCAAATATCAAAACTATTCTTAGTAGCTTCCAAACATTCAACATTATTAAGATCAATATATGGCTTTGCATTATCTTATTAAATATAGATAGTCTACATTGCATCACATTGAGGTCATTTAAATCAAATTACTAGTAGAAGCTTTTCAATTAAACAAGCTCATATGACTTCTTTTGTCATTGATCAAATTAGTTTCGTTTCCAATGTTCTTGCAATTTGATTCTTAGTATTTCTCTTAGTAGGCTCTTTATATACTAAAGGAAAAATATGAATTTTTTCCAATTCTACATTACTTGTTGTATCAAATCTTAGCCAAGCTACCACAATTAGAAACATAATTTTTGTGATGAATCGCTTGTTTTTGCAAGTACATAGAGGTTCATTTTCTTTAGGGAGTATATAACACTTTTTTTATTCTTGAGACATATAAAACCACTTTTCATTAATATGCACAATATTAAACATATCATTAAAGGGTATATTATTTTCGCTATTGGTAAGATTGAGCATTGATAAGTAAAATAATAGCCTTGTCTTCTTATTTTCATCAAATAAGAATGGCTTCAATGCATTTGAATATGATTTGACAAATTCTTCTTTAACACACCTATGAAGTGTTGATTTTGGCACATTCAACACCTTTGCCAATGATCGAATGTTGGTACGGCAATGTAAAGTATCTTTAGATACTTTAATTGGATAAATTTGAATTCTTTTACATCTAACATTTCCCAAAAGCTTGGAAGATACATCAATTGCCAATCCATTATCTAAAAAGTATTTTGCTTGTTTTCAAATTCTACCAATTGCCTTTGAAGAAACAGAAAACATGGAAGTAAGAATGGCTAAATAGCCTTTTGGTAGCATTCCATTGTTACTTTCCTTTAACAGAAACTTATAAATGGTTTTGCGTTGTTAGTTGGTTAAATTTCTTTTAGATTTAGATGGAATAGAATTTATTTGTATCAAAGAATCTGTGTCATTTGAGATAAAGGTAAAGATTAAAATAAAAAATGGTGCTTTTGATAATTGGAGATGAAGTGTGAATAATATGGTTATTACAGATTATTTTGTTTTTTGGTTCTAAAAAATGATGATGCGCCCAAAGCTTTGCAAATGATAATTTTTATTAGTTCGATGATGTGCTCAAAGCTTTGCAAAAAAATTTTGTCTTAAAGTAATTAATTTTAAATATTCAAATTTTACCTCAACTGAAAATAAATGAAAATGATAAAAATGAACTTGAGATTTCTTTTTTATAAATTTTGTGCAAATTTTAATGAACAATCAATAAGGGACAAAAAGAGTATCATAACAGTAGTTACAATTGCTTCACATATATATATTTCACATATATATTATTTATATTATATTATAAAATGTATGTCTCGATTTGAAAAGTATAATAATTTTAATATAGTGATGACTTTATTTAAAATAAAATTTTATTTAAAATTATACAATTCCAATAAAGTATTTAAATAATAATTATTTAAAATTATTCAATTTATAAAATATTATTTTAAAGTTATATAATTATAAGAAAAAATTACGGTTGTAATTATAATTTTATAAATATTTAAAGTTATTCGGAACAACTTATGATTGAGATTGAATACTTATAAATAATTACTTGATTTTACTTTAAAATGAAATATTCATGTTCGAATTGGTTTTGTATTTTCTATTTTGGTTATTTATTTAATTTTAGTTTTTTAATTGTTAGATAAATATGATACGATAACACAATATAAAAATAATATGAATAAAGAATATAAAAATAATACGATTTAAAACTTTAAAAAAATTATAAATAAATTTAATAAAATAAAAAATTATATTTTATGTTTTTATATCGTTACGAATTTTAATACATAATTTTTATATAAATATGATACGAATATAATATTTTATATAATATAATAACACAAATTACTTGATTTAAAGGCAGTCCCTGTGGCCCTAAAAATTATCCAATAGGAAGGGCGAGGGTTGTTCCCGCTCGCTTCGTTTTTGAATGCCCGCCCTTCTCCTCTTAGCCTACGTCTCTCTCCCCACCTCAAATTTTAGTAAAAATTATGAAGGCAAACAAAAAAGGAAAAAAATGTTGACCATTTTTCAACATTAAATTTCAGGAGATTGAAGGAAAAGAGTAAAAAATAACACAGTGGAAATGCAGAGACTAATTAGGATTAGGGTTTCAAAGAATGGATTCTCCTGAACCTTCTAAATCTCCAATTTCTTCTTCTGCTGCAGCCTCTACTTCTTCCTCTTCCCCAGTTCAAGTAATTTTTTTTAACTCTTTCTCGTTTTATACTGTCCTTCTCTTATCTTTTTTTTTTTCTTTATAGATGTAATTTCTGCTGTTACTTTATAGTGTTCTTACCACTTCCTGTATTTTAAGGTCTCTTTCTAAGTTTTTTGTATCTTTTTTTTTTTTGGCTTGATTTAGATGATATTTTTGTAATTTTGCTGCTTGGTGTTTTTCTTAGTTTCAGTTTTAGATTTTTTTTTGGGGATTTTTTTTAGTGAATTTGGTTGAAGTTTGGTGAGGAGGGGGGGAGGTCTTGGTGAGCATAAAATGTGTGGTTAAGTGGCATTTTATTTCTGTTGGTGAAGATGTGATTTGCAGTGAGTTTAACTAGAAGTCCATTAATTTAATGGGTTAACTTACTTGGGTATTGGTCAAAATATTGGTTTTTTAGAGGAATTAGGAGTTTCTTTTCAATGAAATGCTAGAACACCAAATTTTGTGCTAGGGTGTGATTGTTCTTTAGTTGGATGGTGGCTTGGATTCGAAGTAGATTTGAATTTTGTCACTGGAAGTGTCTGGAAAACAAAAAGTTTGTTTGATGAGTAAGTGCTGCTTGGATGTTTAACTTATTGCAGTTCTAGAGTTTGCACAAGGTGATAGAATCGTGTATTGTTCAGTTTGGATCCATTATTTGTTTAGTTATATGCTGATTTTTGTTACCTAAAAGGAGAATGGTATGAATGCAATTGTTATGTGCTTTATGGTATGACATGGGTAACAACTTCAGACTTGATTTTGGTTGAGTTCCTTACTTTTCAAACAACTTCAGGCTTGATTTTGTTTAAGTTCCATTACTTTTCAATTCAGTTTGTCACCTTACTTTCCCTTTTTCTCCCATTTCCTAACAAGATAACTGCATAGCCTTACAATTGCATTGCATTTCCCTTTATCATGAATTTTAGACTTCATATTTATCATTTTCACTTTGATTTCAGGAATCCCCTTTTTCCAATTATATTAGCAGTCTGTCTCCTATAAAGCATGACAAGGCACCGCTTGTAACACAAGCATTCGTAGGGCTTAATTCTCCCCCTCTTGTATTTACATCTCCACGTATAAATACACGTAGAAGGTTTGTTATTGCTTGGATTTTGGTTTATTACTTTCCACTTGAATGGCTTCTTGCTTGAACTCTGATTGCATGAAAACTTATTTCCAGGCCTCAGTCATCTAGTGTGGAAGTATCTGAAAATGGTGAAGGAGACAAGAGCAAAACTGATGGGCCTGGTAGTTTGGAAAGATCTGTTACAGTATTACAGCAAGGGTTGATCACTGATATTAAGGAGGATGATACCAAGAACTCTGTGTCAGTCCAACCCAGTAGTTCCTCTGGATGTGTTGATGAATACTTGGCCGATCCTGTGGAAGCAGACTGCGCAAACTCTGCATGCACCATCAGTTTAAAATTGAAACAATCTAATAATGTTCTTCAGTCATCAGTAAATGGTTTACCAGACTCAAAAAATTTAAATTTTGATGACAAAAATGATGTGGGGAGGGAAGTCGATTCAACTCAATTGTTGTCTGGGCTGAGTGAAAAAGGCCTTGAAAGAAAGTTAACCTTTGATGTCAAGCCATTGAAGATTGATAATGAGGAGCATGCTGGTCAACGGATATCTGATGAATGCCGAAAATTTGAGGCTGATATGTTTGATCTTTCTTCTCAGGAAAAAGAATGTAAAAATTTGGATTCTCAGGTAATGATTGATTTATGTTTTCCTACATCAAGTTGGTAAATAGCATGATCTATATTAGGAGATAAGATATGCATGTTTCCCAGTCTTTTTTTTTTTTGGCAGAAAGTTGTAGAGGACCATGGGAATGGATGTGATGGTTTCCTTCATCTGCCGCCTGAATCCTTGCAAAGGGTTCAGGCATATGAAGGTTTTGCTGAAAATGTTGAAGGAGACTTGGATGTGCCAATTCATAATATGACACACGATCTTGAGGTATAAAAAGAATTGAAATAGCTCTGACGTAGAGATATCAAAATTAGATTAGTGGATTGCATATTTCTCTTTATTTTTTTATTTTCATTTTGGTTATTAAATGCTGCTAGAATTTTGCTTTTGCAATAGAATAATTAAAACTGTCAATGTAGGCTAGTGAACACCAACGTGGCATGAGTAGGCGCTGCCTTCAATTTGGAGAAACTCAACCAGAAACTACGGCAAACTGCAACAGTTCTTCAAATCTAGCAAATGATATGGTCACTTCAACATCACTTGCTACAACTTCAGAAATAGAGGGTTTGGGTTCATCTCATGTGGATTTAAGTGCTACATCAAGAAAGAGGCAGCTAGTTAACTTGTCCCAATTAGCTATAAATATGATTCCCCAGTGTCATGTTGAAAATTCTTCCTTAACTGTTTACAAGCCATCAGGTGTTGGATTACACCTAAACAGCATTGTTAATGCTATACCAATGGGTCAAGGTGGAACTGTGAGCATGAATTTGGCAGTTGATTCTCTGGGTATACAGGAGATAAAATCAGCATCTATTGCGAGCTGTCAGTCAATGGAAAACATGCAGAGTCAGTCAGATGCATTTGAGAAAGTATCAGCTGCTCCTCAGGATGGAATACTTGAAGCAAAGGTTAGCATGATTGCAGGTTCTGCTGCTTGTGAATCACTCCACACTGTAGAATCAATTGAGTGTCACACAACTCTAAGCACAAAGAAGAAGCTTAGCTCAGAGGATGGAGACAGCAATGAGGTGTTTAACCACCAAAGCCCCAAAAAGAAAAGGCAAGTTTTTATGATATTTCTTGCAGATTTGACAGTTTTGACTTTCTCTCAATAATCAGGACCGGTAATAGTTTGTGCTTCTATAGGAAGAAATTGTCAAACAGCACTGATGGTGAGGGTTGCAAGCGTTGCAATTGCAAGAAGACCAAATGCTTGAAACTGTAAGTGAATTCTGTTTTTACTTGGTTGTATTCCACTTACACATCTGTATTAAGTGCAATATATGCTAATTTTCTCCTCCTTTATTCCTTTGCAGCTATTGTGATTGTTTTGCTGCCGGAATCTACTGTGATGGCCCTTGTTCCTGCCAAGGTTGCTTCAACAGACCTGAGTATGAAGATACAGTTCTTGAGACACGTCAACAAATTGAATCGCGTAATCCTCTAGCATTTGCTCCCAAGATTGTACAGCCATTCACTGATTTCCCGGTGAACAGCAGGGTATTAAACACCTTCCCATCCCAAAAACAGAGAACACATCTTTTGCTTTAGGTTTTTTGTTCTAATTTAGTAATTTTATAATCATATTTTCCCTCTATAGGAAGATGGAAACTGGAAGACGCCATCCTCAGCAAGACACAAAAGAGGGTGCAATTGCAAAAGGTCAAAATGTCTGAAAAAATATTGTGAATGCTACCAGGTCTGGAAATATATTGCTGCCTCAATCGTCAATCATATTTCCCACCCCATGTCAACTCTTTTAGTATATCATTGCTGGACTTATGAATCTTCTTTATATATTGAAAAGGCTAATGTTGGTTGCTCCATTGGATGTCGATGCGAGGGGTGTAAAAATGTCTATGGCAAGAAGGAAGGTGAGTTTTGCAAGATATATCATTAAGAATGTTGTCTCTCAATGCATTCTAGTCTTCATATCCAAAACTAGAAAATAAAGAAACATGCTCTTTCATTCCCGCATCTTTTTAGGGTGTATTTTGGGTTGAAAATGATTATCTTTTAGTAGGTAGGAATAGAGAATTATTATAATCCTTATTATGTGTTTCCAGATTATTGTCTGACTGAAGAAATGGTGAGCAGAGGTGGTGGGGAGATATCAGAAAGCACAGTGGCAGCTAAGAAGGATTTCTTGCATTCTGAGCTGTGTGATCCACACTATCTTACTCCGCCGACACCTTCATTCCAATGCTCAGAGTAAGATTTACAATTATGATATCCTAGTATCATTCAAGAAAAACTAAATATAATACCAATAAACTTCTTTACTTGCTAATTACTTGCTTTTTTATTCAGTCATGGAAAGAATGCTCCCATATCCAGACTTCCTTCCAGCAGATGCCTTCCATCACCTGAGTCTGATCCAACCATCTTATCATATGCAAAATCTCCGAGAACTTCTGATAGTAATGACATGCTTCTGGAAACAAGTAAAGAAAAATTGGATGTTGGTTCTTACTGTGAGGGAATCAATTACAACAATGCGGACGTGCTTGCCGATGAATGCCATCACACCCCACTTCTAAATCATTCCTCAATTTTTACAGGTTCATCATCATCATCTAAAGCAAGGGAATTGACAAGTCTTTCACAATTCCGATTGGGCCCTAGAAGTGGTTGTATCTCTTCAGGGGGTTCCCTTCATTGGCACAGGTCATCTTTTATGCCAATGTCTACTTTAGATGGGACTAAAAAGCTTCAGGGGCTTAACTCTGATGGTGGACTTGATGATATTTTGGAGGATGATACACCAGAGCTATTGAAAGGCACTTCTACGCCTATTAAGTCTGTGAAAGCAAGTTCCCCAAATGGCAAGCGAGTTTCACCTCCTCACAATTTGCATCAGCTTCGGTCAAGCTCTTCAGGACCATTAAGAAGCGGCCGTAAGTTCATACTAAAAGCTGTGCCTTCTTTTCCACCTCTCACTCCTTGCATTGATTCGAAAGGCAGCAGTAATCAGAGTAGAAGCAATTTTCAAGAAAATAGTAGCAATGACTGATTGTCAGACCTGCACTTTGGAGTAAGTTGTTGCATTTTACGGGCCCTTTTTTGTATGAATGTTGTAGCCAAATCACTGACTTAGCTAGTTTTTGCCACATTTGGTAGCATACTACATTAGGTATTTTCATGTTGGATTGTTGTACTTGAGCTTCAGAGAAGTAAGCACCTTACTCTTAAAACTTTCACCATTAAGGTTTGGTATGTCATCTTTGTAGCTTATCCAATAGCATTTTGCCATTGTATATGCATGACTTGTTACCATGATGATATCTTTTTTTGGTGGTATACAGGTAGGTACTAAGGTGGCCACATTCTTGCGGTAGCGGACAAATTCCCAGAAAGAGATTGCTTCCGCCTCATGATCCGCCGTAGTCTTCTGTTTTTTTTTTTCCCCTATTTCTCTCATTTACTTGTCAGTCTTATAGTTTTTCAGTTGGATGTTTCTAATGCAAGCCTAGTATGTCTCATTCCTCATGATTAAAGGAAGGACTCATCAAACATGTTGCTGCCATTCAATTATTAGAAAATAAAATTTTATTTCATAAAAAACAAATACCCTTTTTCTTTATATCTTTTTCTTTTTGTGAGATATCAAATCTAATGTTGAGTAAGTCTTCTTTGTCATTTAGAAAACCCTTATCTAGAAGTGCACCATTCCATCATCATTTTTAATATTTTGAATTTTGCCACTGGTAGATTACTTACCGGCTGCATCAATTTTTTGCTTCTGAATCTAAAACCACAAAGGGGGAAAGGCAAACGTGAGATAAATGCAATCTTTCATTAAGATTTTGAATAGCTGTCTAGTTCAAGATGATTATGTTTTGCCTCTTATTTGCAGAAAGATAATCAAGCAATTTATTTTCAATCATGGTCCTTACATATGAATTATCCTTATAATATACAAAAAGAAACTTTCCAATATTTGATATATGTATGTATGTATGTATATATATATATATATATTCATCTCACGTTTACAACATACTCTGTTATTTTGCAATAGCCAGCCTTTTGGGGTGAAGTGTTGATTGGCGATGAAATGAAAGCAGTGATGGATCTTCCGTTCAAACAAAATGATTTGCAATTTTCTTCCAACCAAAAGACTGAAGAAAACTTACAACCATAATAATAGTAAATCCATTGGCTGGGGGGAGACGATAGTTGGGTTACAACTTACACGATTTGAGAGGATGAATTTAGCAGTAAAATATATATATATATATATATATATATATATATCTGTAGGTTAAACTGCTGAAGTGGTTTTTATGGAAGTCATAGTTCTTTTTTAACCTGAATTATGAGGAAAGACCTTAGCTATAGACTAGTATCAGAGACAAAACCTCTAATTCCTTTACTTCCCCCCAAACAACAGTCAACAAAAAGGCAAAGTTCAACTAGTGTTGGTTGGATTTTCTAATGGAAATACATCCAATGCAGGATAGCCTTATAATTGAGCTACATAATTCAACCAACCCAAAATTTCCTAGATTGAGACAATGGCAGTTGAACTCCCATCCACTTCAACCTAATGAACAAAATTTACCATCTCCAATTCCTAGCAGCCAGTAAAACAAAATGTAAGAAAGTTTATTTAGGAAAGCAAGATTAACAGGGAACTGTGAGTTGAACGATGCAGCTATACTATATACCCCATGCCAAACATATATCTAGAGTACCTCTTTCTAATCCTTATGTAACTTGTTCTTCTCTATCTCCACGTTGCCACACGGGGTTATTTGATAATTGATATCATGACCGTGATCCCTGAAGACCTAACGATGCAGTTAGCCAATTGCAGACTCCATCTGTTTCTTCAGGAATTGTATAGTGACCAAGCCTGCATGGCAATATTAAGCGGTTTTAGTTAAACTCTAGAATATAGGAGTTGTTTCTGAGTGTGTTGTTCTTGTCTAAGGTGGAGCCAATTAAATACCCATTATAGGTTTGAAATGTAAGATTCCGGAAACCAACAGAATTTAAGGCATGTGCTGATCTCTCTCCATGTTTATATGCAACCACATCATCAGCTGCAGCAAGAAACAAAGAGTGAACTACATGCAGAGGAAGCAAATGCATTTATAAGTTGAAGTAGATCATGGCATCATGATAAGGCCAAACATCAAGGCATTTAGTCTAGGGCATAGTAGGTGTAAGTTAACCTCTTGCCAATGCTGACTCAGAATCTTATTTGATGTACATGCATGTCTTATTGAGATTTTAAACCTAAAAATTTATATTATCATACATGCTAGGTGCCAGTGCCTTTCTTTTCCAAAGTGTGCTGACCTAAAATTTTCAGTATACTAATTCAAAAGCAAAATGATTGCACTTCCACTAGCATCAAAATATTTTATTCAACTAATTTATTGCTTAATTAAGTCTCAGTGAACATAAAGGTAAGCAGTAAACCACTATTTTACAAGATGATACGCTGCTTATCAAGCAATCAGAACCATATCAAGTTTTTAGATACTGACACTAAGTTTGACAGGAAGGAAAATGGAAGGAATGGAAAGAGATGAGGAAAGAAAAAAAGGAAGGAGGGGAAGGAAAGTTATTTTTATTTTATTGTGTTTGGTAAAGTTGTAAATAAAATTATTAATTTAAGTTAAATGAGTATCCTCCTACCACATTTGGAAGGACTGGATACTCATTTTCATTCCCTCCTCTTATGTCCCTCCTACCAAAAGAAAGAATAGGTGGAAAGAAAGTAATTTTTCCGTCATCACCTTTTCCCTCCTTTTTCCCTCCTACCAAACACAGTGTAAAAGTAAACTTCTATACTTATACTTAAAAAGATGCACTGCTATTGGCCAAATGCAAGACATGAAAAATGAACTGCTTAATTGACTGTAAAAAATGCATGGAGCCAAATTTCGAAATGTATACAGTTTAAGCTAAGTAAGAATGTTGAAAAGTAAGAGCTGCAAAATTATTAATAAGATAATTAGTATTACCATACATGAAATTCCAACAGAAGGCAATGTTACAGTGCACAGGAAATCATGTGCTTGCACAGTACTGTGGTTCAACATCTCAATTTAATAATAAGTTCTCTACGCTTTTCAGAATTGGCAAGCTATCATGTAGTTATGGCTCCCTTTTGGTTAGTGTGTCTACGTGTGTGTGTGTGTGTGTGTGTGTGTGCATGTACTTGGATATGTGCTCTCTCTATAAGGTTTTGTATTGGAATTATCACGTCATGCACAGTCTATGAATTCAACATCCTTCCTGGACCTCTCTACATGACTTGAATAGCGCAAGATACATCAGTGTATGACCTTATTATAACAGAAGACTGAAACATTCTATCAAAAACTCAGGATCTCCCTCTGTTCATCTCTTGATACCTTTAAATGGTTTACTTTGTAATTATAAAGTGATGACAAATAGAGTAAGATACATCATTGGGCGGCTGAATTAAACAGTTTACTGAATCATTCATCACAAATTTTCCAGAAGAGTATTGAGTACCTAAGCCATGGCACATCAGAATGGGCAAGGATGCTGCACGCCTCACTGCCTGGATTGATCCTTCCATCTTGTTCCTCAAGGTCCTAAAAAAAACAGCTATTGAGCTGAATGAATTGTATAAAAGCATACTGCCAAAATAGTTGCGCTCACATAAATGAATGTAAATGAGTTTCTATGTGCTATATCTGTGTGTACAGATTCAAACCTTGAACATGGAAGCCAACCACTTAGGCCAACAACTGCACTTAAGTTAACTGGATACAGGTTTCCATTTCCATATTTCCCTAATATGTGGCATGTGGCAGAGTAGAGAGCAATAGCAGCACCCATGCTAAATCCACCAATTCCAAGTTTAACTGCACATCATAAAATTCTTTTGAGTCTTCATAGCTGATGGGAAAGAGAGCACAAAACTCCCCCACCCCACCCCAAAAAAGAAAAAATATTAGAAAGAAAAGATAGATAGGAGGTCATGCAAACGGATTCAAACACTTCTTGAAATTTAACGATGAACTAGATGCATCACAGCAACCATAGAAGAAAGTAAACTGAGTGGTTTCTTTTTCTTTTAACAGGTCAAGAAAACTACATGAACTGTCAAAACTATCCGTTTTGATGATATTCTTAGTCAAGAAGCATATAAACCCTCCTAACATTTGAATTGTTTACAGATTTCAGAAGGTTACTAAGAATAAAAAAGACATACTATTAGCAGGCTCTGTTGACAACAGATTGGCAACATGTGCTGCTGAAGCATCTAACCCCTCCAAATCATCAGGACCATCTCCTGAAAGATCTGCCACATCAAACCCTGAAACACATTACATAAGCTGTGTTATGAACTTCAGCATTGTGGTAACTTCAGAAGATACTTGAAATTCTATTGGACACAGTGCATAGTAAATTGTCAATGATAACCAGGTGGACGCATCTGTTAGCTTGATTTTAGAACAAAAGCTATAGAAAATAGCTGTTCAGAGGAATAAAATCTTACATGCAGTGCAAGGATGTCCACCAAATATTGCTACTGGCCTAGTAGGAGCAGTTGGACAAATCCACTTAATCTGCAGCATTGAATTTCAACAGAAACATATAATAAGTTGTCTATTAATTTAAACTGTCTAGTCAATAGGCAATTAGGGCAACCACAAAGCACTTTGCATTTGCATATATACAAGCCACAGTGTAACTTGAAAAAAATTGTTTTCCTTACATTTTGAAGGGGAAGGGTTTCCAAAAGCTGAGACCAGCTGCAGAACATAAACAAAAAGGGAGATATCCATCTTAGTCACCATTAGATACCCTCAAAAAATTTTAAAACTCTTTAACATTCTGAAACGATATACCAGAACCCAAGTTCAGAAAAGTTGCCAGCCTTTTATGATATATTTTAGGAATCTCCCATTGAAACCATGCTAGTTTGGGACCACAGTCCAAGTTGTAAAAAGCTGCATCAATAATGGTAGGATTCATGCTAGATGACAACAGATACATCTTAGCATGAATTGTACTTATACCTTAATATTAGTATTATCTTTAAATAATGATAGAACTTGGACAGCCAAATTGAAAGGACAATCAAGGTAATCAAGAAATGGTCCCCTGTTCTAAGGCCTAAGCCCTGGCATATACAGTTTTCAGATTCGAGGTTGACCTGATATAGCTTAGAATACTTAGAAGGAATGCACATAAACAACTAATCTCGTTTTATTACAGTTTAGAACTGCATGAATCTCTCTCTCTCCCATCAAATCAATCATTATGGGAATCTTCTGGAGAGGGGCATAGAGTTCAAGTTATTAAACAGAAAACTTCTCTTCTAAAACAGGACAAAGTTTTGACATTCCGTGTCTCCTTTTCTTTTGCTTTCCAGGAACAAAACAAGTTCATTATTCTCGTACAAGGCATATGCCTAGGATCAAGAAAACGAATTAAATTTCACCATGGGACAACAGATGAAACAGGAAAGAATAAGGAGTAAGTAAACACAACAATGTAGTTGATAATTGATGGCTCAAAACTCTTAATCATGCAAATTGTTGATCCAAGCATGTCCCAAAAAGGGAAAAAAAAGAATTAGAACAAGCAAGAAAATAGTATGTATCTAGTAATAACTCCTGATACTCATAATCAACTAGTTCTACAGAGACCAAGCCTTTTCAACTTGAAATGGAACCATCAACTATAGTTTGATCATCAAAGAAGTGCAAATGCCAGCGAGGATAAACATCAGTAAAGTCTAGCTTTTATAGTATACCTTGAGCCTTTGTCACCAAGACCATGCAGCCAAACTATTGTAGCCTGGTGGTTCCCTTTAGGCCTGACCACATGGGTCCTCCCAAACTCAAATGTTCTAGTAGTTCCACTACCTGAAAATATTGCAACTAAAAAGATAACAACTAAAGATTCAAGAATGCAAAAAATAAAAAAATCAAGCATCACTACATAAAACAAGACTGACCAGAGCTCGAAGCAGAATTATTCATTGTAGACTATTTTTCTTTTTATTTTTCCTGCAGTACTATACTATTGCAGAATGTTTGTAGCAATGATTTAAATCGAATTCCTTCCTGCAATGATAATAAACAAGAAGTGACCATCTATATTTATAACCATAGGGAAGGGTGGAAATGGAAAAACAACCCATCAATCTAAATCAGCTACCGCTCTTGCTTGAACCGGTTACACACTGCTTGAAAGCTTTTCCAGAAACTACTATATCAGAAAGTGAAAGGCACCCAAGATAGGTTGAGAGAGAGATAATAAAAGGGACAAATAAAAGCGGCATCTCTTTGTGAGCAAAGGAATCTACAAACAGATGATAGAAGATGAATTAACAGAGTCTTTGACATCGCAAAGTTGCAATGCAAAGACAGAAGAGAGAATCCAATACCCTATGGACAGTGGGCAGCAAAGTAAAGCATTAAAAAACCATAACAAATTCAGAATATATGACCACACAAATAAAATAGACAAATTTATGAAAAAAAATTAAGAAATATATCTTTTAACATCCATAGTTAGCATAAAGATGTCAACTTGTTGAATGTAGTGAAAAGATCTGATAAAACTGGAAATAATAAGATTGAATAAGAAGAAAAGTGGGGTTTAAGCTTTTAAGCTTTCTATACGGAACCAACCTGGTGTGGAACAAACAAAACCCAAAAGCATAAAATCTTTTCTTTTCTTTTCTCTTTTTTTCTTTGTTCTCCCTTTTCTCACTTTCTACTTTCCTTTGTTCATATTACAGTCTACAGTCAGGCTGGAACATAGACAAGCTGAAATGCTGCGACAATTCACAGTTCCAAAAACCTGGTCATTTTCTTACATGTACTGTTTAAAGACTGAAATGCCCTTCAAAGTTTGCACTTTTTAATAATTAAAAAAAAAAAAAAAGCAAAATGAGTATATTGTGCATATGAAAATAGCAAAATGAGTATGCCCTTTCAACCTTTTTCTTCATCAAAGTTGAAATTATGATTAAAACAAAAACTAAAGTCAGTAAAAAAAAAACCAAAAGAAGGGATTTCACATGTTTTAAGTAAAAAAAAAAGTTTATATACACAATTAATATATGAGATGATATTATTTTATTAATAAAATAAATCACATGATATTATTTTATTAATGAATAAGTTTTTTTTTAACGTGAATTGATAAATTGCTTAAAAATTATTAATTTTTTCATAAAGTTCAAAAATGACTTTGGTATTGTTTTTACTATTGAAGTTTTTAAGGAACAATAATGCAAAAAGTTTTGGACAAATGTGATGTTACTTTCACACTCTCCCTTCCATTCTTTCCCCCCCAAAGTAATAAGCAAACTAAACTTGATACGTCAAAGTGAAAAAGAATAATATATGAAAAGTAAGATTAAAGAATTTAAATGCTACAAATTATAACTTATTGTAAATAACAATTCAAAAATATGATTATTACCATAAAGACCTAATTGGAGTGAGAAGATGTCAAAATGTGAATAAACAAAATGTTTTGGGTTAAATCATTATCAAATCAATGTGTTATTTTTTTTTGTTACATTAAAAGGATAAAATTTTAATATAAATAAAATAAAAGAGTAAAATTTGATTCGAAATTAAATTTTTGATATTCTTTCAAGCACTTTTAACTATTAAATTAAAAATTTGAATACGTGCTATTTCCTTCTCCCCAAAACAAAAAGATTTTATTTGATTTTCATTTATTTCACTATTTTTATTTTTTGTATTATTATTCTTATGGTGCAATTGAGAAGCGAAGAATTTGTTCCATATGATATTTAATAATAAATCACCTTCTCACTGAGGTCAGTTCATGCCATGGCTGATTAAAGAAGAAAATCTCAAGCTGGTTTGATCTCTCCTTCAATTATTACTTTTAAGTTGTAAACTCCTTCCTTATAACCCACTTTCCGTATAACCCCACTATCGAAAAAGAGAGAATGAGAGAATGTATACTTGAAAAATTTCCTCAACTACGTAGTAAGAAAGCCTTTGGAATAATATCATACCAAGATTCTTCCATTACTTTACTGTTTTTAAATTTGAGTAGATGCTACAACTTTGGTACTAAGTTTTCAAATTGCTTTAAAATTAATTTTCCACATTTCAAAATAGTTTCAAATAATTTTATCCCTTCCTCGTGTTCTCAATGATACAATGATTAATTAATAAATTGATGTGCCACATTATGCTAAATTAATATTATAAAATCAGAAGCGAATATGAGATGTGATTGTAAATGACGTTTTATGCAATTGTGAATTCAAAATTTAATTAATTTATATAAAAAATTTTAAAAAATAACATATAACAAGTTTAAAATTCAAATTTTAATGCATGAAATATTTTTTTATTTTCAAATTACAAAATTTTTTTTATAAAAAAATTCACCTGATACGGCTCAGAATTTTTTTACCAATTCAGGCATACATTTAATTTAGATATCTGTCATATTGTTTTTGTGGGGTTTCATAATTAGAGAAGAAAGTGCACAAATTGGAAAGATTTTCAAGATTTTGCTGTTCATTTTTTTTTTTTTAATTTTGATCTCATTCAATTTTATTTTATTTTTTTGGTGAGAAATAAGAAATTTGGGTTGTGATGAATTTAAACCGTTAGTTTAAAAGAATCAAAACAGTCCTTTTTCTTTCTTTTGGTGAGGAAGGAATCAAACATAGCATGTTTGACATTTCTCATCTCAAATTCTCAAATCCCTTTCATGTTGATGGAACATACACCTAATCTATGGAGTATTCATTATTTATTTATTGATTTATTGTTAATATTAATAATGGTAAGATGTGATTGTTGGAATACATTTGTAAACTTCCCCTTGATTCCCAAAAGTTTTTGTCTCATCTTCACCTAATTTTGATTCCTTGATTTGTGAACTGACTAATAAAAAAGCTCACATCTGCTTTCTCATTCGTGATTTATACAGCAATTTTATTTTGCTACTATATTGTGAAATTTCTACTTTATTAATTATTAAATTTGTCTTGCAGTTGTCGGCCGCAAAAACCAATCTGTTTCTGCTTTGATTCACCTGGAATTGATATTATGAAACTACTTTCACAAGGGCTGAAATTAATATATCACTAAATGAGAATGATATTTTTATTTAGGCAAAAGAAAGAAAATTTTTGTCAGAAATATTAGTCTTTGTCAAAGCATTTAATCCTTCATCAAACCTCGCAAGAAGACCCAGAACAGCTAGTGAAGTTCCAGCAAGGTCTTCATCCTCGGTGTTTGTTATCACTTGGATCAACACTGGGGTAGCTCCAGCCCTGACAGCTACGATACGTTTCCCGTGGAATTGCACGACCTCAGCTAAAGAACTGAGGAGGTGGTGAGCAGAAGGACTAGCGGTCCTGAAACTGCATGGACCAAACAAAAGGCTGATACCAGGCGCCAACCCAAACCTGGCCTTGTTTTTGTCTAGCATAGCCAATCTACAAACCAGGGGAGAAACCAACTAGCCGGACTCGGGGGTTTGGGTAGAGAACCATGGAGTTGAGATGATAGATAGTTTCCAATTCCATATCAAAGAGAATAGACAATGAGAGAAGACTTGGAGAGGCTAAGAGGGGCTCCATCAGTTTGTGCTAACAATGTCCTATTTTGTGGGTTGACTTTGGTGATTAATGGAAGCCAGACCTTGTGGAGCTTGCTACTGTACTTCGTAAGAATCTATCTGATCGTGCTTCAGACAGACATTCAAGGATGGCTTCACGAAGCCAAACTGTTGACATGGTTCAAATTAAGTGCAAAATTGCTAACAACGTTAATTTTCATAAGACCCAGGCAAGTAAAACTATCATGTATTTACAGGCCATCTATAAGTTGAAAAAGATGTTGCAGAAGACAGGACAAAATGATTAGATTTCCTATAAATGAACAAGACATAAGATCAACTGCAATTTAATAAAGCTCCAATTCCCGATCATCGCCAGAGTTCATTTCTCAGTTTTGTAGGAAAATTTTCTGATACATTAAAGAACTACATAAGATTCTTAGGGACACTGCACTAACAATGTAACAAGATTCCTACCCCCCATATAATCCACATACTGTTCATTATTTATAAGATATCCTAAAAGCATGCCAAGAACAACCAGAACGAAAATACTGAAATCAGATATTTAATTACTGCAACCACCGGCAACAACCAAGTAGAAACAACAATTTGGTAAAACTGCACAACATAGTGCATCAAGAGAAAATGGGCTCATCAGAGACTTGTACCAAAATCTCCCCAAACTTTCACCTAATTCACCTTGCTGAGTCGGGTGAACCATCATCATATGAGACCAGGCCCCTTTTACCATCCAGACTTCCAGAAGATGACCTTGACCTTGCTTTGCTTGCCTGCTTAGGCGACTGAGAGTCCAATGAGGACCTTGATTCCGATCGGCTCCTGCTCTGAGAAGGGGACCTTCGCCTCCCAGCACTGGGAGAGGCATGAGACCTGGACACATCAACTGGAGAGCGGCTGTGAATAGGGGATTGACTGCGACTAGGGCTACGGTTACGGCTATGACTGTATCGACGATTACGGTAACGAGGGCTATGTGATATCAATGGACTTCGTGTCCGGCTTCTTCGGCCTCTGTACCTGCAAAGTAGATTTTTAATAGGAATCAAGTAACAAAATTCAAACCGCCCATGAACAAAGTTAAAGAGAAATTTTTTTTATTATTATTAAACACAAACACACACACATAGGGAAAAAGAAGCAGCAATAAGGGCATCATTAACGAAAAACCCAGAGATAAATTGACAATGGCATAAGGGCATATCAGACCTTGGAGGAGTTCTTCCTCTTGGTGGGCTTCTAAAACGCCTAGGTGAATACCTCCTATAACTTGAATACCTAGAACTGGCAATTAAGAACAAAATCACCCATGGTTAAAGGATCATATGGCTTTAGAAAAAGAAAAAAAAAAAAAAAGAAACTTAGGGTAAGACAACTTAAAAGAATATGATGGAATGTGTACCTCTCCCGATCAATTCTGCCACTGTAACGATTGGATCTCATAGGAGAACGATCTGGAGAAGGGGTTCTGTATCTTCGTGCATAAGAGTAACGCTCACTGAAACCCCGACCCCTTCTGATGCGCTTAGGTGATGCATCAGGGGAAATGCTTCTCGATAAACTTCTACCTCGATCAGAAGTTGACCTTACCCTTCGTACAGGGGTGGGACTCCTTGAAAAACTATGGTGATAATTCCTACTTGGTTCCCTTAATGGACTTCTGCTGATGCTTCTCCTAGAAGGAGCCCTACCAGAGCTCCTACTTATGCTTCTCCGAGAAGATCTTACAGGACTTCTGCTAAAGCTTCTCCTAGAAGATCTTGCTGGACTTCTACTTATGCTTCTTTTCAAAAGTCTAACAGGGCTTCTGCTAATTGATTTTCTTGTTGATCTGGATGGGCTCTTACTTAGGCTTCTTCGGGACCGAGACCTTACAGGGCTCCTGCTAATGCTTCTTCGAGTACGTGCTCTAACTGGGCTCCTGCTGATGCTTCTACTCTTTCTACCCCTCAAAGGGCTTCTGCTGATGCCTCTAGCAGGGCTCCTGCTGATGCTTCTACTCTTTCTACCCTTCAAAGGGCTTCCACTGATGCTTCTAGAAGGGCTCCTGCTGATGCTTTTAGCAGGGCTCCTGCTGATGCTTTTAGCAGGGCTCCTGTTCCTACTTCTAACAGGACTCCTGCTTACACTTCTTTCTGGAAAGCGAGGCGGATTCCTTGTCACACCTGGACTCCTGCTCACACTCCGCCTTGGGCTGAGACTGGGGCTCCGGCTTGGACGACTCCTGGGACTAATACTCATACTCTTACACATGGCCCTCTTAGGACTTATGCTTCGGCTCCTGCTCATCAACTTTTAATAAAATACCGGATTGGGAAGAATCACTAAGTATAAAGAATTAAGGAGTGAGAAGGAAAGTAGACCTAGATTTGCTTGGGTGATCATCTACCACATCAGGTTGTCTCTCTGCACTTCTGTCAGATTTAGCATCTTCTTCTATGCCATTGCTCTGTTGCTCTCCATTTTCCTTTGGAGCTTCATGCTCCTTTACGAGCAAATCAGCCTCTTCCCTTTTTCTGTGTCGAATTTCTTTCTCTACAGCTGAAGGGGATTGACTCCCAACTGCAGAATGTAGACAACCCTATTTATAAAGTGTGCTAACAATTCATAAACCTAAAATAACACAAACAAATTATCAAAATCAGAAGGCTTTACCAATCAAAGCTGAAAACAGGAAAGTAGAAAATAAGAATCTTCCAAGGTCCACAACATCTCAATATGATAGATATATGTGAAACAATAGCATTAACGCGAGAAGGCGAGGAGAAAGCGGGAGTGCAGAGAGAATAATGTAGAATGATGTCACCCGGCCATGTCAAATATCCATAATAAAGCTGTTATCTGGTTTGACAGGTGCATGTGCAGTAATAGCAGTACTAAGGCCGAGGATTTAAATCGCAATCACAGGCATGTTTTTGATCGTGTTACATTTATTGCAATGCGTACAAAACAGAAATTATCACAGTTACTATAGTCGTGAATTTTTTTAAAATTTTACAAAACTTATTAAAATATATATAGTAATTATAATTATAATCATAAAAGTTGTAATTTATGGTTTTTAAATTAATTTATGACATTTCATATCTTTTATTTAATTGAAAAAGAATTTACTCATAATTTGTTAGATTATAATAAAATATCCATGTTTAAAAAATTACTTGTAATAATTAAAAATAAAAAAATTTTGAGATAAATAATATTTATGTGGTGATAGAAAACATCAATGTATTAATACTTTAACATTGATTATTCATCATCTAAATTATTAAAAAAAAGGTTCAAAATTCCATCAAATACTTTCCCACGTTTCTCTATTCAAATCATACAAAAAATTTCTCAAAATTTTAATTTTAACTTATATTAATAATTTTTAAATTCCCCTATATTTTTAAGCTAAAAAGATACAATTTGATTGAACCTAGACCTAAACCCCACCAAGACTACACACATCAAAAAATCTCTCAAAAGCTCCTCATTTTTCTCTAAATCAAAACCCACTCCCATCTCTGTCTCAAAGCTCCTCACTTTTCTCTCAATCAAAAACCACGCGCCTTTTTGTCTCTACTCTGTCATTTCTTTCTCTCAAAATCAAAATGAATCCCAGCCTTCTCTACATCCTGCGTTATCCAATTTTGCCCTCTTCCAAGATTCCTCCAACCCATGCCTCTCGTGGCAATAGTAGCAAAGCACACCCTCATGGCTTCATCTTGAAAGTTAAAGGGAATATTTTGCTTCCTCAATTTTCAATATCAAAGGGTGAAGTGGTCATTGATGGGGGTTTGATTTGGAGTTCTGGAGTTTAAAGCAACATCTTCTCCCAAGTATTTGCAAAAATTTAGACATGAAAAAGATAATTTAAGTTTTTTGTTATTGTTTAAAACAAAATATGGATTGAGGCTGATATTTGCTGAAATTTTATTATTTGATGAAAAAAAATACTATTTTTATATTTGCTTTTGGAAGGAAATGGTCAGTAGTGGCAATAGCATTCTGCTATAACCGGTATTTGCTTACTTGGTCTTTTTGGCCGTTACAGGACCCTATTGATGTGAATAGCGGCCAAGACACTGCTACACAACTGCTTTTTGAATCCATGGTCAAGGCAAAAACAAAAAGAATGAAGGGTACTCACGATATGTAAAATTTTCCTAGAAAGCTTTTATGCAGTCAAAATGTAGGGAAAGCACCCCCATGTACAAATAAAACCAGTCAAATCTCAAGCACGGAGGAAAAGAAATACAAGATGCCCATTTCAAATTCAACTACAACAAAAAATATCAACATCAATAGCATCACAGTTAAAAAAAAAACCATATCTAACTAGTGCAATCAGATATTAAGATACAGAGAATAAGCCGTAAAACAGAATATTGCCAGGCAACAGATGAAATAACTCCAGCACTTACCATTTTTCTGAGAAAGCTGTTCATGCTTCTGTACTTTTCCTTGCACATCAACATCATTATCAGTGTTGCTTTCACTTTTCCTCTCACTGTCATCATCTGTAAGACTATCCAAAGCTCTGATAACAAAGAGGATAAAATAATTTAAATAAGTTCTATAAGAAATTTAACAAAGCTAATTACACTTTCAGGCATCATATCCCAATTTGTCTTAGATTGAAAAAGGCTTTAGAGAAAACCACACAAGATGAATTAACAATACTAATAGGTGCTGACCATAACAAGGGGAAAAAACCATGATACTTTCTCAATAAATCTTCATCAAGTACAAGAGAGAAACACAATTGGAGCTACTACAACAAGGACACGTGACCAACAGAATTTCAAAGAAAGAATGGGAAAATATGTATCTATATGGCAAATAACTTTGAACATCATATTTATTGTTGATATGCATGTATATGATTGATTTACATATGCAACTCAAGTTATGACCAAAAAAAATCCAATCCAGACACTTGTAATTCACCAAGATGCAGATTTTGTTTCTAAACAAACCACCTATTTGTACTCAAATAACAAAAATAATGAGAAAAGGATAGAAATAAGAAAAAAAAAAGCTTCTGTATTGCATGGGAGGCAAAGGAAACACTTTCAGGAGCAAACAAGTTTCAACTACATCTCCAAAAGATTTGAGTTCTCATACACATAGTTGAACAAGCAAAACACTCGGCAAATCATGCACAGGACTCAAGGTTATTAACTGGCAATTCGTCAACAGACAAGACACTGGTATGAAGGATAAATGGATAATAAGCATAAAACCTTCTTGATCTACGCTTTGATCTCTTATCACGCCTTCTTCTCTTTTTGTCACGCCGTTTATCTCTTCTTTTTCTGCGCCTATATTTTTCTCGTTTAGAAGATCTCTTCCTCTTTTTACGCCTGTCATCACTTGAAGAACTAATGTTAGAGGATGATGACAAATATGAGTCTGAATCACTATCAGATTCAGATGATTCTGTCTCAGAATCTGAGGAACTCTCTGAATCAGACGAATAATGTCTTCTCCTCTTCTTTTTGTCTCTTGAAGATTTCTTATGTTTCCCCTTCCTTCGCACTTCATGACTATTAGCATCAAGGGATCCATCTTTTCCTGTTTTCAACTTGATTTTTCTTTTCTCTGCAGAAAAGATAATAAATTGGAAGGCAAAATCAGAAAGAGACAAGGGTCAAGCCTCATGCAGCATTATAAAGGTGAAAATTGGCAGGTGAACTACAAATTAAATCATAATATTCCATCTGAAATATAACCCTCCAAAGAGGGCATGATGACCTTTACCTTCATTGACTTCACCACAATTGATAATTTTCACTGTTACAGTTGGTATTCCTTCCTCATCACCCACATTTTCAATTTTCTTCAGCACTTCATTTCCTTGCACAAGCTTCCCAAAAACCACATACTTTCTGTCACATGCCACAAGTAAACAAACTCAGGACACAATGCTGAATCACATTTAAACTGAGCAGGGCATATATTTTGGGATGGAGGCAACCAAATAAAGCATATGAATATACATAGAAGATCAGAAAATACCTGTCAAGATGATGATTAGCCTTGAAGGTGATAATGAATTGTGAACCTACAGTGTCACGATCAGCAATTGCCATAGATAAGAGACCAGGTCCATCATGTTTTAGCCTAGGAGATTCATCTGAACAGAAGTTCAAATTACCACTAGTTACAAATCGATTATTAATGAAAGAATAGTAACCTTCAGCCAACTTATCGATGAACAGTTTGCAGAACCAAGATATCATAAGCTTTCAGCATTTAATGCAGTCCTTAAATGATTTAGCCATTGTGTCATTATGCTGGCACCTAGCAATTCTCGAGGAGCAACTTCAGATGATATAGGTAAAATGCAATGGAACTGACATTGATAGTGCAAAATAAAACTTGTACAGAGATTAGGAGAATGCACATTGCTCTCTAAAAAAAGTCTTTTGGGAAAAGATAGGCTCAAATCAAGAACCATGGAGAGTGCCTATGTGATACAATCTAAATGCAAAACAAAGCTTGTCAAGTTATTAGGAGAATGCACATGCTTCACAAAAAACATTTCAGGTGCAGATATACCCAAATCTAGAGCCAAGTACTTACCCGATATAATCTTTTTCCTAGTACATAGAACCTTAACACCATACTTCATTTAACTCCACACATTGACAAATTCTATATTACATAGCAACACAATTATAAATTGAAAAATAAAAAAGATTCGAGATTTTGACCACTTTGGAAGAGTATAGAATTACATATGTTGAACACAGATGCACTAGCAGCACAATTATGAATTGCAAATAAAAATTGGAGATTTTGATGGCTTAGGAGATTACAAGACCACATACATAAGCATGTCCGAGAACTTGAATAACATACATGATTATAATCTAGTTAGAATATAATTAAATTGAAATGAACATAAAGTAATTACAAACAACAAAGGCATGTTTATAACAGAAATAATACAAGGTTCACATCATTTCCAGGAAATTATCAAATTTTAAAATACTAAACAAAAGGAAAGCATTGCATCTTTTCCTCCTGCTTTTAAGACAACCTAAATTATGTAATCTTAGAAGATTGGGAAGAGATCACTCACCTGGAAACTTCCCATCATATATGCTTTCCCCACTAGTTCCTGAAGAAAGAAATAAATACATTTAAAAATTCAGATGGGGGTTTCAAGAGCAACTTCTACCAGCAGTCACAGAGAGGGCAACCCTCAAAGTGATCTTATATAGGGTAAAGTCTTTACAGCTGCAAAAATAAATAAAATAAAAAATGGCTCTGCAAGGAATACGTACCATCTCTTCTCACAAAATCGCCACCCTGCACAACACTCATAAGGTGTTAGTCCACAAATATGCAAAAAGACATTTATGTTCAAAAAACTGGGTTGGACAAGGCGAAGTTTAGTTAAATTTTGAGGATTGACAACTTGGTAAGTACAACCTTAAAACTACATCACAAGAAAAGCAGTCGTGATCATCAGCCCTGTTTCCTACAGAATAAACAATAGTAACTGACCAAAAGACATACCACTTCTAAGCCACGTTTAACAAGAAAACATCTAGAGAAAAATCCCAATTTAAACTAAGATAAAACAACAAACCTGGGCCATGGAACCTTTAATGACTCGATGGAAAAAGGAACCCTTGTAGTGCATTGGTTTTCCAGTTTTAGGACCAATGCCCTTTTCTCCTGTAGATCGAGATAGACTTAAGAAATCAGCAAAGGACAAATGATTTATATGCCAAAAAGTGTGCGTGTATACCAAACAATTACAACCCCAAAACGTGTATACAATTAAAACCCAGAAACTCTCTTGCCCCTAACCATCAAATGCTTCTTCAAAAGAAAAAAAGATAAACCATAAACAACAAAACTTAAGACGAGGAATTAGTCTTAAGATAATAAATTTGCCAGAGTGAAAGCCTATTCATGAATGTCTTGTAAAAGAAAAAATCATAAAAATGGGTAATAAAAGTATTCAAACAGATTTTATTTAATCACCTGTACAAAGTGCACGGAAATTTTCAGCAGTCTTGGGAGCAATATCAGGAAAGAGCTGAAGAATCAAAGAAAACCAATAAATACTAGCAAAAAGACAATCTCAAAGAAAAACCCAATGTATAATAATTCAAAACAAAATAAAGAGGCGAACAACAAGAGAAAAATGTAAACTCTTGTTGGCTCGCTTCTTTCATTCATTGCAATACCTCGAAAGTCATCTTTTCAGCAGGATCACCATCTATTGACACATCCATGAAAACTAAAGGATTTTTCTTCTTTGCCATCTTTGTCTACCACAATAACAACTCAAACCAGCATAACCAATAATCTGATCAGACTGCAAGCAGCTAGAATCAGCAGAGCTAAAATGAAATCTAGCTCAAATTATCAGTAACAAAAAACCACCCACTCCGTTTAAGCATTCCCAAATTCACCAGTCTCCATTAAAGCATATAGTAAAGCAGAAGGGAATCTTTTCCTGAAGAAATCATTTTGATCATTTCAATCTAGTGTTCTAAAAACATCAGTGAAGTAATCAGGATTTCACAAATCGGTTCAACATGGCATAATATAAATGTATCAAAGTTGATTTTCACAATATATAGTGTTTGGCAAGATTGTGAAAAGCAAATGCAGAGCTTTGCAGGCGACTAGGATACTTAGCAAATCTTCAGCCTTGTACAAAGCATCCTAGGCCCTAACATTTCCAAACATACTGATTACAGAAAGCAAGAAAAATGAAGAAAATCAGGTTCACAGATCTAAAAAAAACTAACTTAAACCCTAGACACCAAAGCAAGTAAATATAATTAATCTAGTAAATGATTGCACTAGATCAGAATCCCAGATCAGCAAAGAAAAGCACGGGCCATTAAAACACCCTTTCGGGTGAAAATAAAAACGCCCGCAATCCGAAAATAGTGAGCAACATGATATCATAACAAAATCAAGCTGAAAACCCTAAAACCTAGCTGAATTAGCAGAAACACTGAAACTACAAGCTTATGGTAAACTCCATCTCAAACTTAAAATCGAAAACCGGGAAATCATATAAAAACTAAATATGCATTCACTGATTAAAGTGAAGAAAGCTAAAAAGATATAAACCAGTAAAGTAAAGAGACATTTAAGAAAAAAGAAGTACACAGGTCTTGGATCAGATAAACGTATGGTGATATTGAGCCTAAAAGAGAAATCACAATGATTTTAGAAAAAGGGGAAGGGACAATAGTTAAAGAGAAACTGAGAAATGTAGAAACCCTAGAAACTGCACCTGAGAAATGCTGAGCCACAGAGAGTGACGATTGCTTTGAGAGTAAAGTTGTTGAAGTGAAAACCGAAAACCTAATGGGCTTGTTGGCTTTATAAAAAGGGGGCTGAGCCTAGCTGCTTCTGCCCTGTCTGGATTGCCCATCCTTTTTTTGCTTAATATGGCCTTCGCGTTTTCTGCTCTAAGGCCTCACCCGCTCACCTCTTCCGCCTGTTTTATAGAACCCAGCTGAGTATATTCTTTGGGTCCATTTTATAATGGGCTAACATCGGGAATTGGTATCGGTTCCTGTGCACCATGAGCCCACTATTTTAATATCTTTTTAGAGTTCATTTTTTATATATCGGTAAAACTTGTATATTTTGCAAATACGGTTAAGAGGTTTTTATTTTTTTAATATATAATGTGCCATTTTATTAGTTTTGTTAATTTAAAAATTTATCAATAATAGTCTATTATTCTTAAATTAATTGATATATTATTAAAATTTATATTTAAAGATTACGAATTCAAAAAAATTAATATGCGTAATATTTTTTTCATTCATATAAATAATAAAATAAGAGAGTTTAAAGGTAAATTAAAAATTTTTTTAAAAATTATTGATAATAAATAAAATAAATTATCATGTTTGTATTTATCTTCTTATTTAATTTAAAATTATTAAATTTCAATCATAAATTAATTTAACCTATATCAATTATTTTAAGTAGTGATATATGCAGTTCTCTACTTTTTTTTTTTTTTGGTAGTAGAGACGCTTTTTCTCTATCTAGTGTAATCTACACAAGAAAAGGGTTTTCATTTTGCGAGAAAAGGACTTCTTTTTAGCATATGTAAAAAACTAATTGAACTTAACTCTTAATAAATTCTCAATTCTCTTTTCAATACTTGAATATGGGATTTCTAAATTAAAATATTCAAATTATTATGATCAATGGCTCTCAGAGCCCTTGTTCCTCGCTCATCATCAGGCCAGAAACCAATCCCTCCTGCGCTTTTACTGCAACATCGACTATATGATCAGGTAGGGTATGCCTAGTTGCTTCCTCTTTGTCCATCAATTTAAGCAGTATGCGACCTCTGCCCTGCCGTTTCAAGAACTACGCCGAAGACGGGGATTATGTCTGTGCTCATCTAATGGTTTGGTTCTCCTTTATTTTTCGATTTATTCCACGTATAATTCGTTTTTTATACTATATATGGTACCCTCATTACTCCTTCGGCTTCATCCGAGAACATCAAACGTTTCCTGTCTACGGCTTTGCCTTTGATGCTTATTCGGGCAATCCCAGCTTTACCACTGTGGAGGTAACTGACGATAACGGGGTAGCAGCAGATGGAGTTCCATTGATTGAAAATGGATAACTGAATGCCTTTGTTCGATCGCAATTTTGTTTTATCTGGTTCATCTACATTCTCAAGAGGCTCGCTTCATTGGATCCTTGTGGCTTATTGTTACTTATATGTCAAAAGAACCGCAAACCAATCTGCCACAGCATACCAGCGGATTTCGCCTACATATCTCTCGAGTTTTATCGAATTTGGACACATATATTGTGCTGGAAGGTGGCTAATCTCTATATGTTAGAGTCACCGAAGATGTTGAATTATCCATGTGGATTACCCAGTATCCTGTTCTTGAGAATGAAAATGGTTATCTTCTCATATTATTAATTATTATATCACTTGTCAGCTCAACTAAGTAATTTGCCCCATAATAAAATGTTATGGTATGAAGGATGCTTGCCCAGGTATCACCTTTCCTTAGGAGGTTCCTGCCAGGGTCCCTCTTCCAACCAATCTTCAGGTAAGTCACTAATTCTTTAATTCGACTGCTTATCAAATGATTTCTCCTCTAGCAATTAACCTTTTTTACTAGGATAAAATTTTGAAATATTTGTATTAGACGAGCGGGTAAAAAGTGAGAGTAGGGAATATAACAATGCGCATTAAATTTAGAAAAGTGAAAAAGCTGAAAATGAACAGTTAACCATTTTTTTTTAATATTTATCATGCTAAAATACATAAACAGGTAATAAAATCACACTAGTATACCACCTTATATTAGTATATAAATAATCTTATTTTGGATTAATAGGCTAATTAAACTCACACGAAAACCCTTGATTTTCCATGCAAAAATAACTTTCTTAGCAAAAGGTTCAATATATTCAGATTCTTGGCCATATCCGACTTGTTTCATCAACAACCCGGAACAGGCCATATCCGACTTGCTTCATCAACAACCCCGAACAGGTCAACAACCATGATCAAGGTTTGCGGACGCTCAATAGCTTCACATCATCAACGACAGGGCCGCATAGAGAAGAGAAGTCATCGCTTCTCATAGTGTAATATGTGCTAAGGAACATGATCCTTGTCCGGTTGGACACAGCCACGAATTCGAGCACAGCACGCTTGAACCCACCCGTGCCCTTCGACTCGTATGGAACTTTGAGTGTGCCTTTGCCGGCGAATGCTTCCACGACCAAAGAACCTACACAAGAGTTGTTAGCATCCCCCACTGAGAATGAGAGCCTATATGTTTTTCCAACGATGGTTCTTGCTACTTGAGCGATGGCACTCTCTTTTCCGGCTACTAGCTCCACCGCTCTTCGCCCTTGAGGCACGAAGTAATGGGCTGAATCGATGTACTTGACGGCCTTGAGAGATTCAACTATCCAGCCAGGGAGAGGACAGTGATCATCCTCAATGTTAGGCGCGATTAGGACACCCCATGGAGTGTTGGGAAATATATATGCACCTTCTTCAAAACCAGCATTTTTCATTATGTTGTCTGCATAAATAGAAAATTGAAAAAATTATTACTCCCTTGTTATGATACCGTCTCCGATGTTTGAGATTAGCATTCAATGTCACATGAAATGGACCAAGGGGGTAGGTATTGCACCAGTTTCATAAATGAAATTGCCTGTTTGATCAGCAGGCTAAATTATGGCCACACTGACAATGTTCTTGTAAAAGCAATTTCTCAAATTCAAATTTCCCACTTCTCAAATTTCAGTACTGTCCTTTTGGAAACATTAACAGTAGCAGCATTTAATAAAAGTCCTAACGAGCTTAATTGACAAACTTTCTTAATGATTGTATCAAACACATAAAATTGATAATTTCATCAATAATTTTTTTTAATATATATTATAAGTGAATACCTTGCAAAAATTTTGAATCCACCGCTTGCAAAAACAATAGGTTTATGGAAAGGTGAAAGCAACATCACAGTGTGACTTGGTCATTAGACCAAAAAGAAATAGACCTCTATCATGATTTGTACACATCAATTAACAGAAATCAGAGTCTAAATCCTAACTTACCAAATGAATAGAAAGTTAAATGTGATGTATATCTAGCCCCCCTTAACATATATTCCTACAGCAGCAATGACCGATAACTTGGTTAGTCTCCTCTATAATTGTAGCCCATACAACATTTACTTTTGACAGTTGCTCCATGTCCCACAAAAAATAAAGCAGAAAATGACTGCTATCAAACTTCTACATATATATGAATTCCCAGCGATGAAAAACCAAATTTCTGTCAGTGCTAACTAGCAAGTGTTAGAAACATAAAACAGAAAGTATTTCATGGTGAAAAAAAAAAGACTTACTGTTGGTCAGTCTAGGAGGGTATAAAGCCTTGATAGCAACAGCATCGATGAGAGGTCCACACGCTGGATCCTCCGCCACTCCTGGATTATGAATAATCAACTCTACCACACCAGATTCTGCTTTGAAGGCCCACGCATAATTGTCCCAACCGGTGCTGCTGTACACTGTCTGGATAGGTAGCACACCGGAATCCGGCGCCACTGTTACATTCAATTGCTCCTCTTGAGCGCAAGTCCGAGCCGCACTGAACGTGATGGAGTAGTACATGCCTTTGATCACCTTTATCTTCTGCTTGATGGATGCCTCGTTTCCTAGCCTCACTGCATATGCCCCCTCAGGCACCACCAGCAACATGTCCCCTTGCTTTTGCCCATACTTTATGTATTCAACAAACCCCTCATTTACCCATCCTGGAATTGCGTAGCGTCCCACAACCACAGTTCCCTTCATGTTTGTTGCATTTGGGGCTTGCTCAAAGTTACCATTATCTAGCAGCCCTGAATTCAATAATCATAGAGAAGGGATAAATTATTAAAATCTAATCTCTCATTTTTCCATGTTTGAACCAATCATAAATTAATTTTAGGTGGTCCAAAAAAGAACAGATAGAAATGTAGAAGTAATTATGAGCACTCAAAATTTTAAAAGAAAAATTTTCTAAACATCCCAAAATTTTCTTTTGCACATATTTTTTTAATTCCCTAACCATTACATTCACTGTTCATACTCAATATCCAATCACAGTCCACAACCAACCAACCCCTGCTACTAAGAAGACAGTATGATAAGTAAACGTCAAAAAAAAAAATCTTGGATCCATCATTGTGTTTGAGTGAATACATGTATTGAAAGTGAAAATGTCTTCACCAAACAGAAAGTTGTATGGCAAACTATTGGCATCTTTGCTAAAAATAGTCATGTGCTGCTTACAAAATTAATTGAATCTAATACTACATTTAACATGCATCATGTGCAAATTCCAGCTCAACTGAGCAGTGGTCCTTCACTTGATTTATCACAACCGTTCCAAAAATCAGATCTTTTAAGAAGAAATTATAACTATTTGCCACTAAATGTTTTCTGTTTTTGAGGTTGGTGGCTGCTATCTGCAAATTAATATCTCTGAAAAACTCTGCAGCTGGACTCAACGCTAGTCTAGTCTAGGATTCAAGTCATCAAACATCCAAATGACCTTAAATACCGTCCATCAGTACACAAACATATAGGAAATAGTAAGGTCAATGCTGGTCATTCTCGAACTAAACCACTAGCTCAATCTTTCAAATTCTAGTAGGACTGATTTTCTTCATAAAGACAGGTTTTATAACAGAATAACGAATTGAAATCGATGTTGCAACAATCAAATAAACTACTAACTTACTAACATTTCTTGTGCCGACAAAAAATCCCAATTCCCACCCCAAATTCCTCTGAATTCAGCTTAAGAGGCAGTCAAGAGCTAAGAAACAACAGGTTCAGAGTAAAAAATTTAGGACCCCACGGCAACTAGCTGGAGCGGCTGCTTAAACCAGAACACATCATCCAATATCAAGCAAACTGACATGAAACACATAAACATGTTGTAATCAAGGTTTCTTACTACAACAAGCCAATGGAAACTTTAGTAACAATATTTCAAAAGACTCGTTGATGTCTATGTGTGTATGCATGTATAGATGTATATTCTCACCGTCGGCCACGGTACCGTTCCTCGCGGTGTCATTGCTCGCAGAAAGGGCGATATGGCAGGTGGCGCAAAGGAGCGCCGACAATAAGACGACCCCTCGCATTGCTAGAAATCTAATGTACTTTCTAAGAAGAAGAAAAAAAAAGAAAAACAGAGACAGAGATATGTGTAAGTTTGGTCAGGGCAAAAACAGAGGAGAGAATGGGCTTATATGCAAGCTTAGCTGTAAGAAATCCCTTGGATTTTGGCAAAATAACGAAGTTGACATTTGCGAAAATGTATATTTACATGTGCACCTCGCAATTTAAAACACAACACAACACAACACAAAAACGAAATTAATAACAATAATATATATAAATATTTTATATTTTTTATATTAACACGAATTACAATATAATTTTTTATAAACACAATATAAATACACGATTTGTATTATTTTTTATAATACAAATACATAAAGAGTTAATATTATGAATAACTTTTGAATTATAATGAAATATTACTTAAAAAATCTTTAATATGGTATTTAAAATATAAATTTATTAATTAATCTGATACTTAAATGATTGTTTGTGCTACATATATCATCATTTGAAGCTAGCATATTATGAGATAAAAAATCACATTAATTAATAAATTCATAATTATGATATCACATTAAAAATTTTTAAAATTCAAATATCATATTAAATATTTTATTATAATCTAGAGATTATTCATTATATTATTCCATACAAAAATTATATTATAAATCCGTATACAAATTATTTAATCTATTCGCAATATATATATATATATATTTACGACAAATCACCCTAAAGTAATGTTTAGTATAGAATGATCATTTCAAAAATTATTATAACCTACACACAGTAATTATATTATAGTGTTTAATAAACGCTCAATGGTCTTATGTAATAGTGATCTTGATCATTAAAAGTGATTAGACCGTTATATTAAAGGTGATCTAATTTTCATATAAAATGATGAAAAATTTTTATCATTGATATGAAGTGATGTGCATGATTAATAATAATCAGCATTACTTTTTTAATATATGAATTAAAAATGTAATTCCTTTTAAATTTGTAATTCTTGTATATTATAATTTTTTATATTTTCAATATTTTATATATAATTTATTTTTTTAATTTTCTTTTATTATGAATTTAATAAATTCTTTTAATTTTCTAATTTAAATATTTTTGCACAATTTATATTATAAAAATTACTTTACCTATTAATAAATATATTTATTGATTTAATAATTTAATTATATTTTATTATAAAGTAAATAGAATATTATTATTATTTTTTATAAATTATTATCTTTAAATATATTAAAATTATTAATTTGATAATTATTAAAAAATATATGATTATTTTCATTTTTTAAATAAAACAATACTTAATTTGTAATAATTTCAAATATTAATAATATTTAAATTTAAAAATTAATGATCATTAATCAAATAAAATAATTTTAATAATAAAATTAATTCAATGATTATATTATTATAATAATTTTATAAAAAACACCAAACGCTATCGTTGGATATAAACAATGAATGATCTAAAATTACAAAAGCTGTTCATTGAAAGAAAAAAAAAAAAAAAAGGGCCGTTAATGTCACATGGCTTCTGCGGCGGATGCAAGGCCACGACAACTTAAGTTTAACCTCCGATTGATGCTGAGGACATTTTCGTCAATTGATGGATGATTAGTTTTTTGTTTTTTTTGGGTACGAGGATGACTTAGGTTTGTCAGTAATTAATTAGAACATTGTACTAAATACACATTTATCATTTCCTTCATTTCGTTTCCTATTTATATGCGGATTAACTATTTTTTTACTATATTTAAATCGTTATTTTTATTGGTTAGAATTTCAAATTTCAAGTAAATAACCTTATAATTTTTTTTATAGAGTGTTATATTATTAGTTTTAATAATTTATGTTTTAATTTTTTTATAATTTAAAATAAAAAAAATCAAATTTCAATTTTAAATTCAAATCTTAAAACGAAAACAATGGGTGAAATTTATAATAAGTAATCTAAAATATAATGAATCTCTCTACATAGGAACACAAACTTTTTAATTAAAATTCTTAAGATATATTTATTCAGCACAGGTTTTGTTTGGTCTTTAAAGATAAAAATTAATTATGGAATTTGTTTAAATACCTAACTGCTATGTCATTTATTGATTAGGATTGAGGGCATGATGCTAATTAAATACACATTAATTTTGTCATTTATTTTATAGACCCTATAAAATATTAAATTAAAATTTATTAATTATATTACAATTATTATAAGTGGTATGTTGCTAAAATTTTAGTATATAAACAAATCACATGTCATGGAAGCTAATTTGAGCATTGCCAAGTCCAACGATATCAAAAAGCCATATCATTAGCCTTATTACAATCATTTTATCATAAACTGAAGTATGAATTGAAAGTCGATGCTTAGGGGTGTATTAATCAGACGATTAAAATGCGTCGATTTTGTTGGAGGATCCGATTAATGGGTGTTTATGGGCACTTGTTAATGCTAATTTAAATTCTATTTTAGAGAAGTTTTTACAGTTAATATATTACTTTCACCAAATTTAATAAAAATATACATTAATTATAGTTTAAGCTTGAAACTTTAAAGAAATTTGAATGCTGAATTTTAATTTTAATGATAATCCAAAGTATGACATAAAAGTAGTCAAATGAATTAGATTGTGTGATTGTCATAGCTAGAGGAGTCTAAAACCATATTCTATTAATTATGGAGCTCAACATAACATGATTCTTTCTGTGAATTAAATAACTCTAGAAAGAGATAGCATTAATAGAATATTTAGAAGATATGAAAGTAGATTTGTGTCAAATTGTTTGCTAGGTTCATGGATCAAGTCAGTTTTAAACAAAATTTTAAAAAGTATCAATCTAATTTAATTCAATTAATTGGACTCATAAAAATCTTTACGTGAGTAGATTATTTTTATTTTCAAATTAATTAGATATTTTCACGTGTACTAAATTAAAAACAAAAAAGACTGACACACCCATGTTCAAAAAGTGAAAGAATAATTTATATATATTGTATGTGAAAATGACAAATTTGGCTTTTTAATAAAATTATGCATGATAACATATCACGCGGAGTGGTGGGGGAAGCTGATTTCAAGGTGGTGGAGATGGGACCCCAAAACAGGGGAACAGTGAAAACCCCAGCTGACCTAATCCAATTCCAAACGAAAAAAAGAAAAAGAACTCAAGGAGGAGGGTCGGGGAGGGATCGTGGCTTGTTTCAGGGCTTTCATGCAGAAGAACGCAGGTGGGTCCATTCGCCCTTTAAAATAAAACAGTGAAAAACTAGCAAAATTGGCCGACCTGAATCTCACCCTCATCCCTTGTGATTTCCTGCATGATACTGCATGTGGACGACAGAGCTCCTGCAGGAAATCAAGGGGTCCTTTGTCCTTTCTCTTTTTTGAATTTTTTTTCTCTTTTTTTTTTCCTGGTCCTAATTTAAAATCCACCACCAACATCGAAATTTAATTACTTAATTTTCATCAAAGAATTTTCTTTTTTATTTTGGGACAAAAAAATAATTTTGGGAATCTAGATTTGGTTGTCAAGGTTTATATCCTTGTCGGCTGGTACAATCGAGGAAAGAGAAAATAATAAGATGCAAAACCAATATTTTGTTATGAGAAGCCCTACCTCTTTTGCTCAATTATTGAAGGGTATTTTGTTATTTGAGTTTTTTTTTTTTTTTTAAAGTTCTATCAAGAATTAAATTAGCTTCATGAGAATTCTAATAATGGCTGTATAATAATTCTTTCATATATACCATTTTTGTCATGTAAGTGTAGAGAGATAATATGTAAACAAGAGGCCTTGATGAAAATCTTTTCATACCATTCAATTTTGTCAGTAATTTCAGTCATATTTTTTAATGAAACTTTTAACAATATCCATAGTGGATCCAAAAGTGTTGATTTGAGGTTATTTGATTTTTTTGAGATGAGACAAATATAATATCGGAACTTCAACCATTTAAAAAAATCCAAATGCTATAAGATTGATGGAAAAAAGAATTACTAGAAACAATGTACCTATATTCATTGCCGAAGACATCAATTATATAAAATATTAATAATATTTTTTATTGATTTAGATTAGATAATATATATAAAAAATTATTTTATATACTGTTAATAAAATTTTTAAATTTGACAAACAGAGTAATACGTATAGTTTAGTAATATATTTTAACATGATAATAAGAAAAGCATTGAGAGTGATGCCATGGAAATTTGAAAAAAAACACTTGAATATGGGTCCAAATCTCCAAAGATACATAGTGGCAAACTGGCAATTTTTGGTTTTGAACTTTGCAATCCTAACTAGATTTCTTGGCATAATTCGTCGCTTTAATCTTCTCTAAATACGATGATTGCGACGCTTACTGGTTTGTAATTTATATCAAGCTTGATTGATTAACAGGACAAGGAAAAATGTGGAGATCCGCTTTCAGGGTTCATGAGCTCGTGCATGCATGAGGTATTGAAACCCTGTTTGAAAGTGACAGTGGCGAGAGCTGTCTTCTGATTTCCAATCTGTAGGGTCTGAAATCTCGATTGGTTTTTTTATTACACGTGATCGGTGAACAGCCTGCTATTATTGACAGGCGCCGACACATGGAAAATAATCCAAGCAAATCACCAAAGTGTTACTAAAATTACATGGCGGATGTGAAGCAAGCAGCAATAATTTCAACTTGCTAATCTTTAATCAGGCTTGGCTTTCATTTGTAAGACTGCGCTTTTGAATTTCAATTACTAGTTTTCAGCTTGCACCAATTTTTAGTTTATTCAAGTTTGAGGTTTTTTTTTTTTGCGATAATCTGATTTAGCCATTGATTATTGTGGGATTTGAGGGTTCCTTGTACTCATCTCAAACTTTCTTGGTAGTTGGTCTGTTTGGATGAATAATGATAATGATTATAGTGAAACTGAAAAAAATAGCAGAGATGAAATTAATTATTTTAATTATGATATTAAAATGAATAATGAGATATGTATTGAAATACAAAAGTAACATTAACAATAAGATAAATTATAATGAAAATAAAAAATGACAATTAAGTTAATGTTTGG